AATATATTTCACTCCTTGTAAGACTGCCAGTTTAGATAATTTTTTACTAAATTGGCAGTTTACTTTTTGAACTTACATTGTCTTAAAAATTGTCAAAAACGTAGAATTTTAGAAAATTTATTGAATAGGTCAGGAAAATACATGTTTAACTGAAGATTTTGTGTCTGGCCCTATCACTAAAAGCCACTTCATCAAATGAATTAAAATGAATGAAACCCAACTCAAAGTAGTATTTGAATAATTATGACAATGTGTAGCTGTAGGTATATCATGGGTTGAATTTCTTGTGTCAAAACTTTGCAACATTCCCTTTTACATATAGCAACACATTCCTCCCCCCCCAATTGGTAATCTGATGTTTGGTCATTGAAATACTGACTTTTGTGAAGTCTGTTGTGCCAAGAACTTTTCAGAAACCCTGCCTATGTCAGGTGTCTTTATATGCACTTAAGTGAGGTTAGATACTCCCACTTCAGCAACTGATCTATAATACATGATTTTTTTTTTTTTTTTTTTTGTACTTACACTGTTTGCATATTATCAATTTCACAACTAATTGTAATGTAATTTGCAATTTTTTTTTTTTTTTTAATCTGTCTGTTAAAATGTGGGACAATTTCGTGAGACATAACACTCAAATCTCTCAAACTCAAAACTTTGCAATTGCTTAAAATGATTTAAAAAGAAAATCACATTAGATTGACTACTTATATCTAGTTATCTAATTTTACCCCATTGAATACACCTGCAGTTAAGACATTTTCCTTCTGGAGGAACCTATGCTTAATTTTTGTTTAACTCAAAAAAAAAATTAAAAAAATAAAATTTGCTGTCATGTTTACAAACTTTCAGTACCATTTGTTTGTTTTTTTTTCTCAGATCATCACAAAGAAAAATATTTCATAAATTTCAACCTACAATTTTCATAAACTATAAAGAAATGTGTTCTTACAAAAGCATACAGAATGGAAGGAAAAAAGCCAACATATGTTGTGGAAACATTAATTGAATAATTTAATTTATTTACATAAATTTAACTATTTATTTACATAATCCTAAAACAACAAAATATTTCTGATAAGAATTCTTTGTATTCTAATTTTAAATTGTATAATTTAATAATGCTATATTTAAATTACTAACTTACAATTATTACTAGTTTAAAAGCTAACATCTGTATCCTAATATCTGTACAATGAACTCTGTATTATTCATAAATGTATATAGTTTACAAATGATGCCATACTCATTTTTAAAGGGGGGTAATTTTACAGTTACTGTAGAATAACCTTCAACATATCAAAATATAGATGAAAATCTCATCTTTGTCCTAAGAGAAAATTGTTGGTCACTTTCACAGGTAACTTTGCTATTGGAATGAGTTCAATTCTCACTGACTCTCCCCACTAAGTGGCCTTATGCCAACCTAAGCATAGTAATCAATAAATATTTTTTTTAAATTCCAAACCCTAACATGCTATAAGCATATTCAGTAATGTATAAACTAGTTCAGTCAATTTTTAAACCGGTTGTTCTTTAGTTAGAATAGTTCATTATTTATGAGGTATTAATGATACATAACATATATGCTATTTTGATCCTGAGGAAAGATGGAAAAAACATATCTGATAAGTTGTTTGGTTTCTGTGAGAAAAACAAAGATTGGTGATAATGCTTTCATGTTTTATGTCTGCCTAAGTGAAATCAAAAAACTTACAAATTTCAAATCTTTTCATTTGTACCCTCTTACTTTAAATAATGACTTGCATTCATATTTATGATTGTTGTTATATTTTGTTAAAGTTGTTAAGCTCAAATATTTAATAGGGGAATTTTCACATGTATTTTATAGCCAGAATTTGAAAGTACCTTAATTCAATAATTAACTTAAGAATTATGATTCATCAAAAAATTCAAATAGCAAAACCATGAGAAATATTTTCTAGAGTTTGTGCTACCAAACCAGTAATTGTTTCCTTGAAATTTAGTTAAACAGGCATGACATCAGTATTTAATTTTTCCTGAAAAAGTAGGAAAAAAGTGTGAAACATATTTGAGAAATATACATTTATTAGTATATAAAGAGGAAAAACGTGAAAACCAGATGGATGTTGAAAAAAAGTTTTATCAATATCCAACAAGTTTTCATATTTTCAATCTTTTATAAAATTTGTTCAGATATTTTATATCAATCACTCACCCAACTACAGGTAGGTCATACAACTTGTCAGTCCAGAAGCAACTTTACATATCCAGGTCTTCTGTTAGTATAAATAGTGAGATTGTATTGCTAGGCCAGTTGCATAGATTACAGGACCTGGTATCTCCAGCAGTCGCCTATCCAAGTACCAACCAGACTCAATATTGCTTAACTTTAGTGTTTGGAGAAGAACTCGGATCACTCATTTATCATGCTTGTTAGTAAGTTTTAATCTCTTATTTTGGGTTTGTTAACACTATATTTAACTTTATTTAAATTTAAATACTTACTAGCTTATAATCTTTATATGAAGATACACATGACTAATACTTAAAACAAATTAAGTACAATGTCTCTTTTACAAATTCTTAACAGTTGCAGAATTCTTTTTGATTGTCGAAAAAGGATGGGAAATTTGTATTGCCTTACCGTTATTAATAATAAAGAAGTAAAAATCAAAGTGTTTAATTCTTATTTGTGCCCAAATCATTTAAAATAGATCAAGTTCATACTATTTGGTACCTAAAAATTGGAGAGAGCACTTTCTTTTTTTTTTTTTATAAAATTTTCTACCCCCCTCCCCCATGATCTTATGAAGACTACCTTGTTAACTATTCACTTTTTAAATGATTTTCTGACCCCACTTTTATTAAAAACCCTGTTTATGGCATTTTGAGAAAAAATCTGACCCTTCCAATTAAGACATTTTCCTCTTGTATTAGGCACCTTACAGTTAATTTTTTTGAAAGATTTGCCATTTAAAAAAGTAACCCAATAAAAGTTATTTTGCAAATCTTAAAGATAAAATTTGTATAAAAAGCTTAAAACAAAAAGAATTCACAAAATCTTTTAAATTAGAAATCTTATATATTTTTCTATACTAGTGACAGCTTAACAAGTACTGTTGTGTTAATGGTATGAATAGTCCATAGCTTATTGTTAAAAATTGTTTTATCATTCTCTTGTGAATGCATTTAACTCAATATGTCTCCATTAACCACATAACTCTAACATTATGCAAATAAAGCTTCAAATCAAAAAAGGAAAATGATTGTTTACTTGCTTGAATAAAGTGAATATTTTCATAAGGCCATGTTTTTTGAAACACAGTGAGAACTGAACTCAATCAATGGCTTTAAGATAACTGTGCTCAGGATAATAACTATAATTTTATGACTTAGGCATTATAGTCAACTTTTTATACTTAATTCATAGTTGGAATGTATATATTTATTAAAAAATAAATTGACATTTATCTAAAAATTGCACATGTTCAGCCAAATTCATTTAGCCTGCCATATAATTGGCTGAGTTTATTTTCTTTTTACATGAATATCAAAGTTTAGTAATTTTTTTTTTTTTTTGTCGTAATTATAGTGTCAGATGTAGTATAGCATGATGTATATATTTTTTGCTTTTTAGGACTAATATTCTCATCTTTTGATTAGTAGAAATGTGCTATTTGTAATCATCCTCAGATTGCTTCCTTTTTATAAGGATATTTATTTTTGATGTGGGTTGTCATGTGTAAATCATAAGAAATGGACCTTAATTTTGTCAAATACTTACAAGGTTTGCTTCTTTTACTTTCACTGTCAAAAATGAAGATAAATGTTTTATTGTACAAGTCTTAGAAAGACAGTTTTTGAAGACTAAAGAAATTCTTTGCCAAAAACTTTCTGATAAAAGAAATGATATAAAAAAAAAAAAAAAAAAAACTGGTTTTACAAAATGTAAAGTAACAATAATTTCATTATATCTCAATACACAATATTGAGTTATATTTATAATATACCTCTGTGTGTATATATATTTTTTTAATTCTTAATTATTTTTGTAATCTGCATTGAAAAATTGTTTCCCTTGGATTTCACCAAACAATATCTTCCAGATATAAGAAAAAGGTTGTTTTAAACATTGTGGATTAAATAAATTTGGAATGTTTTTCATCATAAGAACCATAAAAATCCGCCTCCTTGAGATTTCTTCTTCATAAAACAAATACTTTTTAATACAAGCAGATAATTATAAAATTGTCTTTTTTTGTTAATGGAATTTTTTTTGATTTCGCGTTCATAACATAAATGGGAGATCACTCCTTCCGTATTGTTCTTTTATTTTTAAATAAATTTTGAAAGAAAATTTCAGTTTACAAAAAATAGCAATCGTCCAATTTAATAGCAAAAACGGATCACAACTTTCATAAAGGTCGAGTTCTATGCTTTAGGATATTGTCACTGCCATTTGGTCTATATTTAAAACCCATAAATCTGCTGGACAGACGAATCCTGTTCTAGATTGTATAGAGTCTCTGGGCTTCTATTTTTCGACATTATTTTAGGTTATTTTGGAGTTTTCTTTGTTTTTTTTTTTTTTTTTTTTTCTTTTGTAGCCCTGATATGTTTTCATCCTGACTTTTGTTAAACTTCTTTTTGTTTTCCTTAAATTGATTGATCAGATATTTCTAAATTAATCAGTCTTGATTACCAAGTCCACAATCTGCTTTATAGTCCATTACAGATATAAATATTCTTTCTCTCCATTTTTGTTTTTTTTTTCTTTTTTTTTTTTGTTTGTTCTCCTTTGGAAAAATATCCATATTCTTTTAAGAAATCGATTCTTACAGATGATCATGATTGCTCCAGAGTATAAAATTTATCATGAAGTGGAAAATATAAATGAATTGAGACAATCCAGTATGTTTTTAGCCTTTCTAATTTTGAATGATTGCAAAATTTTTTTTATTATTATTATTATTTCACTGTTACTTATTTGTATGTATTTTGATCATAACTCAGCATTAGTATGGCACTGGTCTTTTTCTTTCCTTGTGACCAAAAGGTTTTGGTGCCCTCATTGTTAACCCTGTAAAAGAAAATTCAAATCATGTATGAGTTTGCAAAAAGTAAGAAGCTTTTTAGAAATTTTGACATAAAAAATAATAAAAACAAAGCTTATGTTGCTATCAACTGAATAAGTCTTTCTGCATGTGTTTCTCTAAAATACAACAACCAAAATTTAGATAAGACTGCCGTATAACATTTTTGAAGCATTTTTTTATTTTTTTTTTTATTCATAACATAAGAGAAAGAACAGATTTTGCTTTCAACTTTAATTATGGACAATGAAGAACTTAATATTTTATTTATATTTATATATATATATATTTATATTATATATTATATATATATATATAAATAAAGAGCATTTCTTGTTGCAAATAAGCCTCTTACATTGGCATGGAAAATAGCTTTAAAACTTCCATACTCAGCTCTCTTGCTTCTTTTGTTTTTCAAATTATCTTGATATTTCTGTTTCATTATGATACCACTGTACACATTGTCATCAAAAGTCAAATTTTAGTGTAGGGATCTGCTCTTGTACAATCCTTCCAACTGGGAAAAGCCTGCCTATTTCAAATTTAAGCATTCAAAATCCTAGCTTTTTATTTCCTTCTGCTATGAAGCAAACTATAAAGTTACTTCCTAAACTAAGTCTAACATATAGTCAGAATAATAGTGTTATACAATACACTAGATTATTATTGGTCTTAATATTGTTGATTTGGTTTTTGTTTGTTTTTTTGTTTTTTTGTTAATGCTTTATAAATTTAAAGATCATTAATTTTTTTTCTCATATTGTCTGTCTACAGTCATTACCAGTAATATTATTTTAAATGCTATTTTTGTCAGCCATTATTAATTCTTTCATCTCAATTTTAGTTTTTTGTATTGTAACTACAGTCTAGTCATTGCCTTCAATTTCATTACCGATATTATTATTATTTAATTTTTACTTACTTATTTATTTTTTTTTAACCATTATTTTTTACTAGTATTTCTTAACTGTAGTTGCTTTTCATTGTTACTCAAATAATATTACTACTAATGGCAGTAGATTGACAGCCTTAATTTTTATTATTAGATGGAATACTGTCAACCATTATTAATTTTTCCTTCAGTATTTTTTTTTTTTTTTCCTTTATTGCAACGGTTAGGATTAGATTTGAGTTACAACTGACATAAGATCAATTTTCTCACCTGCAGTGTTTAATAACGGCTATAGACTTATGGTCTAAATAGAAGTAATGAAGTAATTAAGAGAAATGTTAGTCAAAAATTAATAATGGTTATTATGGATTAACTGTTGAGCCTCTTTTTCAATGACCCCCACCCCAGTGCTTCCTTACTTGAAATACTGAATTGCAACTGATTTTCTTTGTACTTTTTAGATGTATCATTCATAGTCTAAATAGTCTTGACTGGTTCAAACAACTTTTTCTACAACAGCCAACATTATTAATGTTATGACTGGTTTCAATTTGATAGTTTCCTAATTAATGAGTGGATTCAGATCCTTCATCACAATATCTTGACTGATGGATTCTATAATCCATTCCTGAAGAATAACTTTGTCTGCTCTCAGGATAGGAAAAAATAATCTTCAGTATGCTCTTTAGAACAGCGTTTCTCGACCATTTACACTTGTGCCACCTTTGAAATAGTATTCATGTCATGGGGGTACACCTGCATAAAAATTAATCTATACCATAATTAATATGCATCTCTATTTTTATCATGATTAATATATTTTTTCAGCTAACTGATTTAAGGAAAAAAAATGACCCACCCCTTTTGACTTTTCATAAATGAGCAATATGATTTTGGCATACATGTATAGTAAAATTACATATATAAAATTACTCAAAACTACATTAGCCTATTTATCACTGTTTCTTGTGGAAGACCTAGTGACCTTTTAGGGTTCCAAGTCAAGGAAACCAGATGAGATACACTTCTTTAGAGACTGAACTTTCAATACTGGATACTAATCAGGGAGTCTAATTATTTCTTTTCAGTTGCTGAATTTGGAAATAATTTTTTTTTTTTTTTTTTTTTTTTTTTTAAATTTTAGGGGATAAAAATTTATTGATCAAGAGGCAATTTGTATGCTGTCATGCAATTTCAAATCTCTGTATTCAATGGGGACTTCAAAATAAAATATATTCAGTACTTTCCAAGTTGTGCAAAGCACTCAATAACTGTCTTGTGCCAATCAAGTTCATTCAGTATGTTTGAGTCTCCCTTGTCCAGAATAGCTTGGCAGGTCCTCATAACTATATAAATGAACTTCACCAGTAGTAAAGGACTCGTATATACAATTACTTCTTAAAGGATAAATCATTTTTGTGTCATAAAAAAATTATTACTAATATAACTTACACTACTCTGGTAATTTTTAAAATTGTGAAAGCAGAGAAGGCCCTGCTTCTACATAGCACCCCCTGCACCAGTTCTATTCCCAGGCACAGAGAATGTGGAAGAACTGAATGAGAGAAAGTTGAGGGGGTTATTGCTGTTTCTGTTTGCAAATTGAAAAAAAAACAGTAAATTTATTCAAAAATAGATAAGTTTTAAATATATGACGATTTGTTCATTTATTTTCTCAGATTTCCCTCATAATCATTAACAGATTACATGCCCTGATTTCAAAGTTTCCTTTGCTAGTGAACTTCAGTTTAAAATCCAATTGTGAATCACAGCTTTCTTAGTTTTTATTTTCATAAAATTGTCTGATAAGTTTTCTTTATAAACTTTATATATTTTCAGACATTTTATATCAAACACAATGTTGTTTGGATGACTGAACTTTCTCTTTGTATACTTGCTGTTAACCTATTCCAGCCAAAATGAATGGCAACAAATATGCAAAAAGATCCAGCTGATATTAACTATGATAATGACATCTCAAAATGATAGGCAATACTCGTATATAAAAATTCTAAAATCAATCTATGCAATTCAATCCGAGGCTGAACCTAAAAATTCCTTTCTTTACCTCTTTCCTTTGCAAGAATTTAAGCACCATTTTCTTCAAGTAATTCAGGAAAATCTGTCTTCTCATCTTGTTCTGACATTCTACCTTGTTGCGTAACCTTTTCCCAGAATGCTGCTCGTGCTGCTATGCACCCTTTCTTTATCCGAGGAGTCTTGTCCATTCCTCCTGAGTCTGCTTCAATATCTCTTAATGGTGGAGCAAGTGGTGCTCGTCGACGTGTGGGATTATTTTGGCTCAGGCCACCAGGTGGCTGAGGTGCTGGTACCGTTTTTAAACTAGGTCGGTGTCTTTCAACTGGACGCCCATCAAGTCCAATTGTCTGCTTTTTTGCTTCTTCTGTTCGCTGTTTTTGAATTTCTTCCATTTGTATTTTTGACAGACTGCGAGCTGTGATACTGTGAATCTGAAAGAAAGAGCAACAAAACATCAAGAATTTGTATGACATGTTTTTTTTTTTCTTCTTTCTCCTTGGGATTCTTGAGTTTGGTTAACAGTAGGATGTTTTTAATGACATGACAAAGACTGGATGCAAGTTTCATTGCACAAACCTCACTGGTCAAAAAAGTAGATACTACACTCGAGTTACTTGCTTGTAGTAAACGGCTGTTAAAAATGGCTCATTTATGTTTACATTAGCCTTTTGGCTTTGTATTGGGTTTCTGCATAGAATCAAAATTCCAGCATGTTGACTGGGACATTAATGCTGGGTATGTTTTCCAGCCTGCAATAAGGTAGGCTTAGTCTCAAGGATTCCAATCCTGCAACATTGATGCCATGACCTTGAGTCAGAGGATTGACATCACTAGTTGCAGACATCAATTTTTATCATTGCCAAAACATGTGGGACATGCCAAAATTTGCCATCATGGAGAGGTAAATAAATACTAAGATCAAAGAGTAGTATCTATCTTGTTCACACTAAACATGTATTGATCACATGACATTTTATATATTTTGATATCTCCAGTTATCCTCCCCTTGACCAACATAAATACAATAAAATGTCAATTATAAAATCTGATTTTATAACTAGAAAGCATTTTTCCCTTTATTTCAAAAAGAATAATAAAGAAACAAATTAGATCAAATTATTTCTATATATTCTTTATCATTCAGATTTTTTTATTTGATTTTTTTATGTTAAACTATTAAATGTTTATAGAAGTATTGTTTAGGTTTTCTCTCCCATTATCTGTAATTAATAGAAAAGCTTCTTTTGCAAAAATATATAAGAAATAAATTAACTTTATTTTAACTTTTAATAATGTTTTGCATTGAAAGTAAGATCAAGCCCACCATAATAGATTTGTAAGACAAGATTGATAACTACAAATAGGTCCAAAGAGTATGAATGAGCAAATATAAAATGAAGCAGTAGGGGCTATATTTGAAAACTGATTTTTTTTTTTTTTTAACAAATACAAGACGAGGCACAAGCTGAACAAAACAGCCTCAGATTTTGTTGATTATCTGAATACTGATGACCCAAACAACATTTCAAGAAACGATCAAAATTTAATTTTATGACTTTGTCCCAAGTACAAATCTGATATAAATTATAGAATTTGTTGTTCCCACATGTGAAGAGAAAATTCTCAGTTTGAAAAGTCAGCTACTTGAACAAAATATTTAACACATAAATTCAGTATTTCACTTTTTTAAAACATTTAAAAGCAAGTGGTTAAATGGTAAATTTGTTATGTTAGATCATGTGTGTTATATATATATATATATATTTAAATTATTGCATTAAAAATGGTACAATCCTCAGGACTTTTATTCAAAACATGAATCAAATGGAATATAAGAATTATTAATGAGACCTGATTAAACAGTGTATGAAACAGACCTTAGAAGTTTTGCTAATCCATTGTTTCTTTATTAATGAAACAAACAAAGGAGATGCATATGACTGTCATAATCAACACAGATTGATTATGAAATGTTGGCTTGTGGGTCATTTCAAATCTCTGTATTTAACAATAACCATGTGACCAAATGACAGTTGTGATTGGTATACTGTAGTAATCTAGATTTAATGCTAACTTGGATATTTGACCAATCAAATGGATGATTTCTTTGTAATATTTTTCTTCTGTACATCATCTCTAGTCCAGCATACAAAAATATTCTTTATCTAACATCAAAGTAAATTTTATTTAAAGAAATAAAAAAGCTTTTTATTTAAGAAATATATCAATTTTTGTTAATATTTCCTAACATTTTTATATAGAAAATAATTACTATTATCTGTAATATTTAAATTTTATTAAAATTTAAAACTCTGTGGTTTCAAGATAAAAAGTTACTATTTTAACTTTTACCAAAGTGTCATTAAAAACGATTACTGTATTTGACAGCAGATAAAAACCTTCCTTTATTTATATTTAACATTCCAATATTATATAGGTACAATTACTAGTAGTAGTAGTATACAGTGTCCTGGTAAACATATGCATACCAGATCTCTCAACTTTTGTGGGGCTTATGCACCATCAAGCATCTCAGTCCAGCTTGTTTAAATAAAATATTCAGATTTAAAAAAGAAATATTTAAGCACTTAAACATTACAATCCCTTTAATTTTATTAACCTATAAAATAATTCTTATATAAAATAAAATTAATAAGTGTTTATTGGTAAAAACCATGGTTTTTGCAATCACATTTCATTTGAGACATTCCCTACCCTGTTGAGGTGCACGAACTTGAAAAGTTTGAAATTAGAATCTATCTCAGTCCCATGGCAGTTACAATTGATGAAGGCTGTTGAATTGATCTGCTAAAATGTTTAAAAAAATTAAGATCAATAATTCAAACAATTTTCGGAATAAGTCCTCTCAAAGAATATGTAGTGAACATTCTTTAATTATTTTTAAAAAGTTGAACAAAACAGTGTAGGCAAACAAAATATATAAAACATTGATAATTGTGAATTGTCTAGTTTAATATAAAAAAACACTTATCAAAGAAGCCATTATCACAGTTTAGATTTTTTTTTTTTTTAAACTTTTCCAGCTGATTCTTCAAAATTACTCAGGCATACAATATGTCCATGGATTTAGGCAAAAATATAAACATAAAAATTTCTCTTAATAGTGTTATAATATAAGATTTCATACATTTGACAGTAGCACAGATTATTTTGAGAACAGATGATCATAAAAGCAGATTTGAAATACATTATTTGGGAAATTTAAATGTTATGTTAATTTTTTTTTTTTTTAAATCAAGTCATTTCCAAAAATATATGTAGCTTAGATGACTTGATCTATGAAATTAACAAAACTGAGATGCTCATTCAGTTATGGACTGAGAGGTCAAATCTTTCTCCTCTCAATCCTCATATATAATATTACCTTTAATGACTGATCTGATAAGGAAAAGAAAAAAAAAGCTTTTTCTTTATCAAATACTTCAAAATAGCATGATATCAGAACAAGTCTTTTTAGAATTCAATTTGTTTAATAATAAAAATGAGAATAATTCTTATATTTCTTGGTTTGAATAAATCATTTGGACATTAGGATTGTATCTTGGTGCTTATTAAAGAAATTCAGTTACTGAAATCTTTAATGAGATCTTGAAATAAAACAGATTAGCACTTGTGATTGTATAATCTAATGCAATGATGTATATAAAGATAACCAGTATACTATATTAAGTGAACTGTTCTTATACACTGGTTAAGTTTTTGAAAACAGAAGTTATTAATAGTTGGGTTTCAGAATGAAAGTAATTGACAAAGCCCCCCCCCCCACTATCTACAAAATATATTCAGTTAATAATTTTAATCAATGTAACAATTTATTAAAATAATTCTATTAATATAACTTTTTTTTTTTATAAATGGAAAAATTGCATACTAATTATAGATATTAATCTTTTTAGTAAAAGGGTAAATGGAGGAGGAGGAAGTGTCACACAATTTTTTTTTTTTTTTTTTTTTTTTTTTTTTTTTACAAATTGGGAAGGGCCTACCTTGACAATCAGCATTTAGAATCTTGCTGTGAAGAAATGCACATTAACATGATCACTTAACTTTTCACTCACCACCTGCAAAGCTTTTAACTATCAATTATTTTATTTTATCAGATTTTAAGTTTATGAAAATAACATTGTTAATTAAACACAAATTATCAGCTTATTTTTTGCCATAACAGAAACAAAATCAAAAGAAACATTACCAATATTTTAAAATCCACAAAAAAGTACAAGGCTCACTCAGTAGGAAAGTGAAAAAGTTAACTAAAGAATGAATATCTTGAGGTACTCTCCATGCACAGATACCTTCAGCCTGTATTTAGTCTTAAAAACTAGTTAAAAAAATAAATAAAATGTTTTTCAAATCGGAAGCTATGGTTTTTAAGGTTTACACAAAAATTACAAAATGAGTTTTACAAAATATTTGAATGAATTTGCTTTTTTATTTCTTAAAACCACTTTTTGCACTGCACTAAATGAATAACAGATTCTTTCTGTACTTCCAAATTATTCATGTGAAGTAAAGGAAAGTACAACCTTGCTATTATATATTTGCATTTTATGCACGTACACACACACATTTCTTTGAACATGCTTTGCTATATTTATTTATATTAGTAGTAAAATAAAACGCTCTAAATGAAAATACTAGAAAAAAAGCACACCATCCACACATCCTAATAAAAAAGTAAACATGTTACACTAGCAATAAAATAATAGCTGAAAAACTCAGTAAAATCTATAATCAATTCCTTCAATTATAAACTTAAAATGTAAAATTTTTACAATTGATTTAAGTCAATAACAGAAAATATTATTTCAAAAAGTTTGAAATTGAGCTTTTTTCTTTTAAAGCTACATGTGTATCTAAGTAAAGGAAGAAACAATTAAACAGAGTTAACAAATATCTTCTGTCTTGAAAAGCAAGTTTGTCTATATTAATAATTAAGCTTAAAGTGACTGCTATACAGACTAAATTTGTCCCAGATAGATTGGTCTTACTATTTTGTATACTAAGGTGACTCAAACAAGCTAATGTTACTAAACTGGGGAAAACAACAACAAAAAAAAAAAACTTTAAGCTATATTGTAATGTCTATACAGAAATGAAATAACCGATAAACTAAATTTAACAATGAAATGTGTGAATGGGTAGATTAAATATCTTTCACAAAACAAATGGCCAATGTTAGATAAACTGAAAGTATCATTTACAGAGTTGGCGGGGGGTAATGTTCTATAGCAAGATAATCTGAAATTATATTGGATTGAGTATAATAAATAAAAAATATGACAGTATTAGGTTAAATAATCTTATTTGCAAATAATATATTTTTTATGAGTAAAGTATGGAAATTTCTTTATAGTAAAAAGCAATTTTTTTTTTTTTTTTTTTTTATAAAAAATTATTCAACTAGAAC